CATCTGTACATGATCTTCCACTAAAAAAAATCCGGTTGTTTATCTGCTAAACTTATATTCTGATTTATTAGCACTTGTAAAATTTTAGTTGTAAGTTTTAGTGAAGTATTTAACAAGTTTATACCACTGTAGTTTTCGGTTTGTTTTTATCTTCTTTTTTGACTAGTAGAATTAGTTCGCTCGTTCTCCATTCTTCCGGTATTTTATTTTGTTTTATAATTTTATTACGTAATGTTGGTAATTGTTCTGTCATTGCTGCTCCAAAATATTTCAGTACTCGTTTGGTATCTCGTCTTTACCTTCTGCTTTTCTATTTTTCAGATTTTCAAGTATTTTCCGAACTTCCTGTACATTTATATTAGGTTCTTTATTTGTGGTAATATCTGGTGTTTCCGGTTTCAGCGTCGTTTGATCTTCTCCTGCATATAGCCTTTTTAGGTAGTCAATCCACGTATCCTTTCTTTGTGTTTTAGTTCTTTTAGTTTCTTTACCTCCATTCTTTGACCTCTTATGAAGCGCCCTATTTCCTTTTGTAGACCGTAAAAATATGTTTCATTTCTTTCGGAAAACGTTCCTAGTGATCATTTTTTATTTTTCTGATAAGTTCATGAGTTTCGTTTCTAATTATCTTGTAATTATGGTATGCCTCTTGTATTTTGGTTGACGTGTATTTCAGGTAAGCTTTTTTATTTTCTTTACATTTTTCCTTCACTTCTCTGTACAAAACCATGGAGTTCTTCGCCTTGGCAAAGATTTATTTTTATTTATATTTCTTTCACCAAGAACTTTTTTGGCCGAGGCTAAGATATTAGACCTCATTTTTGCCCAGCTTTCTTCGACTCCATCACTTTCTGTGATACATGTGTTTCTGCTTTTTTTTTGGTTATTCTTTTTTGGAATAGGTATCTTGTGGAGTCATCCTAAAAGCTTTCGACTTTTATCTTTGTAGTGTATTCTGGTATTTTGTTCAATCAATCACATATATGTGTTTTCATTCGGATTTTACACAATACCAATTTCTGATCGCTTCCTATTTCTGCTGATATTAGTGCTCTTACATTCAAGATTTATGAGGTCAATAATTCTCTATTCGACCGAATATAGCCCATCATAGATCTTTGTCCTCTACTGTTTTCAAAAGTGTATTTGTATTGTTCTTTTTGAAGGAAAAATGTATTATTAATATGTATCTCGTTTATGCTGCTGAGGTCCGTCAGAAGGTTTCCGTTTTAATTTCTGATATTTTCGTTATATCGCTGTTTTATTCCTGGAACTATATCATTGCCAACACAACAAATGATGAATATATAATGATATATAATGTCGGTTAATAATTTATGTTTAACTACATTAGCCAAATATTCATGAAATTCCTCCATGACTAAATTGATCGATATTTAAATATATTTCAAGTTCCAAAATGTAGCTGCTGTAAAATTTGAAAATCTACTACTAATACAATTATTGGCAACATCGCAGGAGTTAAGAAGTGTACGCAAAATGGTAAATACGGATCCCAAAAATGGTTTATCCTGCTGTGGAGTCCACTTACTCCTACATGTTGGTCGGAGTCTACATAAAGCGCTACTCAGATAATAATATACACGGTGTATATTCTACTGGAGTTAGTATAATACCGTTTTAGTACGGAGCCTACATTAACCGCTAGAAGTATATATATACATATATATATATATATATTATATATATATATATTATATATATATATATATATATATATATTATATATATATAGAAAAGAAATTTAATCTTTGCAGATAAGTTAAATAGTAAACTCTTAAATATTGGGGAAATCTGCAAAAATTTCCAGATTTGCAGATTTCCCCAATATTTAAGAGTTTACTATATATATATATATATATATATATATATATATATATATAGATATTCTTACCAAGTCAAGTTTGTTAACAATTTGTTATGTTTTCTTTATCGATGCGGTCGCAGTGCGGGTGCCTCAACTCGATCATCCCATCGACTACCCTCTCCCAGTGCAATGCCATCCCGATGGTACACCCTGCTGGCTCTACCTTTTCCCGACCAACAAATAGGCCGAAGGGAGTTCTCTCGAAGCTATCGGTCGCATAGGGCCGGTTACTTTTCCAACCCAATTTAGCGAGTACCTGATGATTTAGCATTTAAAAACGGTGAGATAAAGGCTTGAGAGAAACCCGCACTGCACTGCATGCATCGCCTTGCACTAAAATAGTAGCACGATTTTTAGCTTATAATGTGCCTTTGAATTTATATATTTTTTAACAATTTAAATTGTGACACGCTTATAAATCATTTTATATTAAGTGCGAAATAATAATTTAAGTTTAACAAAGAATTTATCGAAATTTGCATCCACAGTATTGCTTTGGCTATCGTTAATAGCTTTATCCAGGTTTCGCCACTGTAAAGGCGGGTTGGCACGTCCAAGAATACTTGATTTCAACTTGGAACAAGTGGACTTGTACAAGTGTACTTGTACCAAGTTGGCTTACACCGTTAAATGACTTGTAACTAAATGTCAAATAACCATTGTAAAGATGGTGGAAGTGATTGTGGAAGGTGTTCTAGTGGTTGCTGGTATGCTGATACATGAGCTTAAAATCTGGAAAAAAAGGAATAAAAAAAACCGCACTGTTAGTATCCATATTTTTATTTTCCAAGTCCAAGTGACAGATATAGGACATATTTAGCATTGCACCTTAAAACAACATAACCTAAAAATCGAAAGCGTTTGTTTTCGTTTGTTTTTAGTCTTGAACCAAATAATATAGACGCATATTCGTCTATATTCTTTGCATGGACATATAAAGTCTTTTCGACCTACCGTATCTCATTATCGACGGGAGCATGATCCAAATCGTTTATATATATTATCCGATATTTCGATTACAATGATGTACAATGACTACAAAATAAAGAATCCTGATTGTCATGGTAGTTATGAACTCTATCGTCCAGAAAATTGCATAACTCAACATATCGTTTGTACAACTTAGCTGTAAAGAGTGCTTTAAGTGTGCATCATATGATCTCGATGAGTCCAAAGTTTATTATATTAATCCAACTAACAATTGTGTAGTGTGTGAAAACTGTGTATCTCACAAAAAATAAATATTTTACTGCCCGAAAAAGTGTGAAAAAGATGCGGAATCGCAACTAAAATCATCATATCTCACAGTTTTAGCAGATCTTCACAAAGTGAATGCTTTCAAGAGTAGATATGTTTAAAGAAGTCATTTTTTACTAGCGCATAATTGCTTTTAACGGACGTTTTGTTGCTTTCGGGAAAGGTAGGGACGTCCGTCCTTTAGGACTTCTGTGACACGAAGGAATATCAGAAAAAAAAAACGATATAGTGTCTAGTTTTTACGCATTCTTCTTAAAAAAACAAGGATAAAAATCAATAACAATTTGGCTTGATAATTGTTCGAGGCAGAACAAGAATTGCTGTTTGTTCAGCTTTTTGTCTGTATAGTAAATGCTACAGTGGCTAAGTTAACTTAAAATAATTAACCATAAAATATTTTAAGCGCGAACACACGTTTATGTCCGCGGACCATTTTCACCACCACCAATCATTAAAGAGGGTCAAAACTATTTGAGATTTTAATTAATATGTTTAATGTGTTATAAATACAACAAAACAGACCGATGTTGTAGCATTGGAGAATAAACATTTCTATGAGTGGCAGATTCCAGTTCAAAATACAAATTAAAAGAGTTACGCCACGCTCCTATTTCAATAATAAGTAATACTTCGCTGGCAATTTTTACGAGAGGCGAGAAAACATTAAAATATAAAAATTCATATGACACAGAAGATTTGACAGAACTGAACTTTTTAACTGCAGGTACATTTATTTGTAGTATGTTGTAGTAAGTTGCTGAATAACCTGCAAACTATAATTCCAGCTCCAGCCACGTAAAGACACTTTTGGGAAGAATTACCGGTAGGCTATGCAGCTGAAGAGCACGAAAATGGAGAAGTTTTTTTACATTGGAGGACTATACTATTATAATGTAAAAAATAAATGTCTCGTTATAAGGGCAATAAAAGTTCGTTATAAAAAATTTTGTCCTAAGCTAAACCGTCCCTATCTATCAAGACTAATGTATGCTCTAAATAATTACTTCCTTGGATTAACTTTTTACTGTTGTGTTTTGGCAGCATGCACCTACGATTAAAATAATATTTAGCTAGAGGGTAATAAATAATAAATGTGATTCGAACGTTAACGTTCAGTTCGTCGTTATGTTATGTTCGAAACACAATGATATATTAATTTGTTTATGGATTTTTAAACTGACTTTTGCTTTTCAATATAAAATCAAAATACTATTGCACCTCTAAAAACAACGTAACGTAAGCTTTCATCTTAAATTTATTGTTTTTTTTAAGGACCAATCTATTAAAAATTGGTCTCGAAAAACGCTAAAATTGGCTTTTTTCTGTCATGTTTAATTATTTATTTGCATTTTATACTTGAAATCGGCATTCTACACAAACTTTCATCTTAAAATAACCCAAAATTATTAAAAAAATAATTTTAAAGCGAAAAAGGAATTTTTGATAATCCGTTTAAAAATTGTTATAAATAAATATGTTGCCATGGAAAATTTTCAGTAAACTTGTGAACATACCATACTGCCATCATACGTTAATCGGCAAAATTACATATATTGGAGCACCCACACATTCAACGTAAACGTATGGGCAGGAATAGTCGTGGATAAAATTATACATGCTTTCTTGACATATGACAGTAATAAAAATTTGCTAAGAAAATGTTTAATTGTCATTGCTTAGTATCTGAAAGCTGCTAAGTTTGTTTATTTTAAATACTTTTAATAAACTTTAAACAACAAAATTCGGTGTTTTAATTAATCAAAACTAAAAAAAATAATTAATTAAAAATTATTAGAATAATTACTAGGTGACCCTTATTTTATACTTACTTATTAATGCTTTATATTAATTTCAGAAACCAAAGTGCCAAACATTACCGTCATCGAGCCTCCCCTGACTGTAACACTGTAGCCTCCTTTGATTCTTCCAGCTCGGAATCTCGTAATGGAGGTCTCAACCGTTATTACCGTCAAGCCTGGGAAAATCTTCATGAGTCTGCTGGCTCCAAAGCTGGTTTGCGCGTAGCCAACGCCTCGAATCACTCCCCACTACGTAGAAAGGAAACCCTTGATGAACCTTATCGGACTGAGCGACATCGAGACGGATCCGAAATGGTTGTATCTGACGTGTATAGTGCTAAAGGTGCAGAAAAAAAGCGGCATCACCATCATCATCACCACCACGAAGGTAGACCTCACAAAGAGGGAAGGGAATGGCGTGATTCGCGACCTCCTGCTCACAGAGAGCATAAGAGATATTGACAACCTTGTATGGTAATTACAGTACAATACGAAGAGTAACTTTTTATCGTTTTGAACTGCTTCGTAGTGAAGTGTTGTGAACTCGATGTGACTGTTATGATTTCAGTGACGTAAAAAAATAAAGTGTAATTCATCCTAGACTGTTGCAAATATATTACTGAAGTACTTCTTTAAAAGATACTTATAGTATTATTTAGGAGTATATAAATAAAGTAAAATAGCTATCCTAAAATTTGGTGTAGATATCATGTAATTCTTGTTTCTATTCCAATTTCATTTGTTTTATTAAAATTGTTACAAACTGTATAACTATATATACAGGGTAGTGAATCGTCAAACGGGCCATAGGCAATTCAATGGGAAATTCTAAATTGTTAAATTTTTGCTTTCCTAATTATTTTACACAAAAAGTCATTACTTACTATTTGTATATTACTAAAATATGTATATATCGAAAACAAATGTTGAAGTTGTTTTTAAAATTAAACGTATAACAAAATTTTGCAAAAATAAAATACATTTCTTAGACCACCCCTAAAAGTCAGGCCACACGCAATAAAAGAATTTGTATTACATGTTGCGTTTTGTCATATTGATGTTACTGCTATTTGACAATATTTAAATTTCCAAAATTTTGGCGTTTAAAAAATAAAGTTGATTAGACATGTACTAATAATAATTTTACAAAGTAATATTTATTGTTCAGCAATTCAAAAATTGTCAATATTAAAAATATCTTACTTAAATATAATCCAATGCAAACAAGTCATACACATTTTTGCACTACGTGTGACCTGGCTTTTAGCAGTGGTCTGAAGTATTATTAGAGAACGTCTAATTCGTTAAACAATATTAATATTTGTTTTTCATACAGATTTCAGTCCCTTCAAATAGTTTTCTATACCTTTTGATGTAAAATAATTAGGGAAGCAGGAATTCAACAATTTCAAATTTCCCATTGTTTCCCTTGGTCCGTTTGGCGATTCACCACCCGTTATATATGTATATATATATATATATATATATATATATATATATATATATATATATATATATATAATATATATATATACAGTATAGGTAAAAGTTTATGGTCGGTATGGACCTTACATGAGATGGAGTGAGAAACAACTGTTTAAAAAGAGAGAGATATATTAGGTGTCCGCCTTTTATATCACCGAACATAAATGAATGGATATGGAGTGGATATAATAAAAAGGGGAAATTCAACGTTGCCAAACTTATTGGTTTTATTTGACCTGTTGTCTTTTTCGCATTTGAACAATGCTCCAAGATAATGAAATTTGGGCGAAATGGATTTAAATGGCAGCTTATTGTTTTTTATTGGGAATATGCCACAATTTTACTTTACAATAAATGTAATATAACATTTTGATTTATACTTCGGAAATCGTTTTATATAAATAAAATTTATTAATATTTGGTATTTTAAAAACGATTTCCGAATTAAAAATCTAAACATCAAAATAAGCTTATTTTAAAGTGACATTATGCCTTATTTCCAATAAAAATATTAAACTGCATATAAATAAAAAAGCTTCGTACAAAACTATTTGCCAACGTGGCGTGTCGCGTGGTCAAATCACCGAATCAAAGGGTAAACAGGTATTTACGAATAGAGGTGGGTCATTGACGTCGCAAAACCGATTTTCGTAAACAAGTAACTATGATTTTTTAATAGTAGTTTCAAGTAAGAAACTACCTACATAAACAAATATAATGGCTATTATCGTTTTATCTTATATTTATTGAAGTGAAGGAAACTAATAAAAGATTTTATTATAACTTGAAAACTAAACTAAACAATACAAATAGTAAATCGTACCTACGTTTACATTACACGTTATTATTAAATCACGAATCGTCTAAATTGACATTTAAAAACATAAGTTTTTTTACTTTACTTCTTATTAATTGTGTTTTTTTTTATTTAAAATTAAACCTGATTTTGAACATGTGTTCACATTTACAATACTTTATGAATATAGTGGTTAAGTTAGGAGATACATGGCGATGGTTTTTTCACCATTGTAATGGGCTCTCGCTACAGGTGTACGTTTAGATGAGTCATGTCCAATTAATTGATCAAAAATACACCATGGACTTAAGTCATCTTTATCGGTTTCTTTTTCTTATACTGGTTGATTTTCAATAGTACAATCTTCTTGTTTCTTTAATTATAGAAGTAACCAGCTTCTTAACTCTTTCTTTTGTTTTTTTAGCGTCATTTTTATCAGAAAATCCCTGCACTTTAAATCGTGAATCCATAAACGTACATAATGACAATATGCCACTGTATTCTATCCCTCTAAATCTTTTTGCTAAACCCAAGATTAGTAATTATCCCGTAATTAGTAATAAAAACCCGTACTACGTTGGATAACTATGGATGTAAGGTTACTGTTTGCTAAAATTTTATTGCAAGATTTTTGCAGGCAGCTTACCAGAACAATCACTGAACTATCATTCAAGTATTTTTGGCCACTCATTGTACTTGTTATTTCTTTAAAAGGCCGTAAAATTTAGGACAATTACGAAAAAATAATCCAGTCTTCATTATTTAGATTTGGTCTAAGTCTAAGTCTGTATTAACTGATACCAATGTGGAACGGATTGCCTCTTCTAACTCCGTCATTCTTTCTAACATGTAATAGGTGAAGTTCTACCTAGTTTCCACGTCTTGGATTGGCCGTTTGGGATCTTTGTTATGTTGTAATTGATACTTTAAAGGCGTTTCTGAAGATAAGGTACTTTTTTGAAATGTGTTTTTTGCCGAATTGTCGAAAAAAAGACTTTTTATTTTATCTATTTGTACACGACAGCATTTAAGTGCGTCCTCCATCAATAAATTTAACGTATGAGCAAAACAATTTGAATGTTTTCATTCCAAAGCATATTTAATAGCTATGACCATATTTGAGGCATTATCAGTTACTGCAAAATTTACTTTTTGTTTTAGACCCCCTGAATAATAATTTTACTAATTTTAAAAGCGATGTTTTCTTAATTATGGTTTCCACAAAAATGGCAGCAGTCTAATTAAACCGTGTTAAACTCTAAATTTTCGGTTAAATTCGTTAAAATCAACTAGTTGATGGTTGAAGCTGGTTACTTCTATAAAAAAAAGAAAAAGAAGATTAAACTATTAAAAAATTGACTAGTACAAGAAAAAGAAACTGATAAAGATGACTTAAGTCCATGTTAATGTAAGTACTATTTGTATTGTTTAATTTATTTTTCAAGTTATAATAAATATATTCTTCGTTAGTTTCTTTCACTTTAATACTTATACACATAAACGATAATAGCCAATATGTTTGTATACTCGCTAATTTGAATACTGGTAAACAATCAACTAGTTACAGTTTACGAAAAACGGTTCCGATAAAAATTTAAAAAACTAAAGGACCCACCTCTAGTTTCTTAGCTTTATGAGGATCGGAACCACAGAATATGTAAAATATCTCTGATCGGAACTAATCGTTTCACTAACAGGCAAAATGGGCGTCAAGAAGATTTATGGAGGGGAGACCAAGGGGGAATATGATTGTTATCTTTGTCTATTCGCTGAAAATATGATTTTATATCTGTGTTAGATATCCTGTTAAGTTTTACCATACCGACCATAAAATTTTACCTACACTGTATATATATTTACATTTACATAAATCAACAGGGTACACTATTTTAACTGTTTCATTTATTCATTACTTAGTCACCATGCAACTCCTTCAAAAACTTTCGAAATCTTACGATCATCATACATATGGGTATGTATTATTTATTAGACCATTATTATGTAAAGTAGGGTGTTCTTTGTTATGTAAAAAAGTGCCAAACATAACCCCAAATTTTGTTTGGCATCATCAACGGTGAAGATTCGTTAAATTTTAGCACAAAACATTGACACCTAAGCTCAAAGCTCCATAAAATATCAAAAATCGTATTTTGGCTATAACTCGCTTAATTTTTTACCAAAATAGTTTTTGCCCTACAATAAATTTTGAACGACAATGAGAGTTGGTGAGAAATTTAAATTAATTTGAGCATTTGAACATTTTAAATGTCGATAAAAATAACAAAAAATATGGGTCGCTCGAAAAAAATATATATGATGCCTTATTACTAAAACTATGTTCCAAAAGTTTTACAGTGGTATAAGTCAGTTAGAAATAAAAAAAAAATGTTTCTGTTTAATATGTGTATGTGTGTAAAACGTGTATAAGTAGATACTTTCCATGATTTGAACATAATGGCAGAATGAGTGTAAGGTCTTTATGGCGTACCACCTTGTTTGATTTTTTTCATTTCTATGTATTTATATGTCAAAATCAGACAGACGACAACTAATATATGATATGAACCGAAATGATTTTCCTTAGGTTCAAATTAAAAATATTGACGTCAATAAATGGCAAAAATTCGACAAAAAACGGTTTTTTTTATATTTAACTGTCTTGTACCACTTAAACAAATCACAAAACATTCTGGGACCTAGTGTAATCATACATAATTCGTATTTTTCGTATTTTTTATTTTTAAACACTCAAATCACTTTGAATTTCCTGCAACTCCTATTTGTGTTCCAATATTTTTGATATAAAAAACAAAAAACCTATTTTTCTATAACAAAAAACCTTTAACCAAAAAAAAACAACATCTAATTTGGTGAAAACTTAAGCAAATTAAAAAAAAAACTATATTTAGTTTCATGGAATTTTGAGGTTGTGTGTCAACATTTAGTGCTAAAATTTGGTGAACCATGCTCTTGCTCTGTATATTAATAAAAGTGTAATGTAGTGTTATATATGGAGGCCTAGATCAGCCTAGACGTAGAAGAAAACAAACACAAGATTTGGTTAAAGAAGATGAAATAATAAACACAATAAAAATAAAAAGTTACATCATCTCAGACGTATAATAAAATAGACGCTAAGTATATAAAATACTTAGATAATACAGGGATAGTACAGGGAAAGATAAGTGGATGAAAAAGTATTAGAGAAGGAGGGTGTCAATGTTGAAAATTTTAAAGACTCATCATAATAATTGTCGTTTGTTTGTACTAAGTTAAAATGAAGCAGGGTTTTTAGAGAATACCTATTTTATCCTGTTTGATATAGACTTTAACAAATGATTTAGATCTATTAGAAGCAATTTTAAGAAGCCAAACAACTACTTTCAACATTTTTAGGATAGTTATTTTCTACTGATGTTACGTGTTTAGATTGTTTTTAAATTATTTATATTATATTATTATTTATATTTACAATAAACATATTCTCTGAAGTACTAGTTGTTTAATTAAATAGTTATTTTTTCAAGATTTGATATTTAGCATTTAAACAAATTCTTTAAAGTTTTATTTCCAGTGGTAAAGAAGATAGAAAATCTTAACAATTACCAGTAAGTCTTTCAGTTTAAAAGATTCTCTTCTCTTTCGATCTCTTAGAGTAATTCCTAGCACTTTAAAACCAGACGTAGCACTGTAATACCTTTAAAAGTATGGTAAGTGACAAGCTTCTACTTATTCTTCCTCTTTAGAAGCAATAATGTTCGTTCATTGACAGATTAATATTTTTATGGAAGGTTGTCCGATACTTCTTCTGCCGATTGATGACTTATTTTTTGCTATTTTGACGACACGGTATAACCTTATAACTTGGTGTTATAAGATTATTTTTTTAAGTAATAAAGATAGAAGACTGGATTGGAGAAAGAAAAAAAAAACAAGAACAGAGAACAAAAAGAGGATGAGACGTAAATATTCAGGGAATGGAGATCGGCTGGCTTTTCGTTCTATGTTAGAAGAAAATAGATGCTGATAAAGAACAACAGATAAAAACCGAAGATCACTGAAGAGGAAAGAAGTTGATAACAAATAAAAAGATGGGCACCAGGAGTAAAGGTCTGTTGGAACTTCTACTCCGTTGATATTACAGTGGGAGTGCTAGAAAGTATAGCTATAAATGATAAAAGTATAAATTTTCTAAAAACTATTTAAAACCAAAGTAGGTAGGTAGCTGAGAGGTAGGTGTAGGAAAAGTAAAACGCAATATCGTCGCCTCAAAGTAATCTTCAGTAATTACCTAATAACTTTTTTTATATTTGAATGAATTTACGTGGAATCTTGTTTGAGTACCTAACTTTACATGTGTCAAATAGCAATTTATATTAGTTAATAAAAAAGTGAAAAATAATTGGAAAATAGTTGTCTTATTATCGCCCTCAAAGATAATCTGTTTTTTAACGATATCCGCAAATTCCTGTTATATAAACTTATATTGCACTAAAGTTTTGTTTAAAATTTTATAAATTTTAATACAAAAAACAAAACAATTTTGTTGTTCAAACATGTTATTACATAAATAATAATATGAACTCCTGGCAAGGTACGATTAAGTTGTATTGATATCGTACTCCTAGTTTTTAATAAAAACAAGTGGTTTTATTAAACAGTTTTTTAAAATTAAAGTGTTTATCTACTAGATACTACTACGTAAGTCATCTATACGTAATTATTATTTTATTATTGTGAAAAGAAAAAGGCAAATAATAAATATAAACTACCATACAATCATTTTGCGAGGTTAGCTGCTATAAGTAGCTTATAGTAGCATGCGACTGGTTTTTCACTTACCAGAGTCGGAGTAAGGCCTTCGCCACCGCACCTCAAAATAACTTCACACAATGTAAACACACCTTCCGATCTAACCAGTCCAGTAAATCAACGTTCGAATATCACAAACAGTTATGCTTCAGCCGCTTCACATTCTTTTCCGAGTAAGAACCAAGCAATTGTATTTAGTTGTATCGATAATGCTAGACTGCAGGATTATCTCATTCCTTTGGGCACAATCATCAACCCAAAAAATATTATTTTTTCATCTAGATTATCTCATAATAGAATCTGCATGTATTTGGCAAACAACACCGTAGTAGATAACTTCATGACAAATATGGCTCTATAGAAGTACTCGGCGAAGTAGTAACAGCAAAAGACTTGTCTCTCCAGCAGAAAGACTAGTCTTGTCTGGAGTCTGCCCGTCAATTCCTCATCAAGTATTAGTTGAAGAATTAGAGAATATCGGTTTTAAAGCTTATTTCTCCAATAACATTTCTGAAAATTAGCTCGACTCTTCCCGAATATAGTCACATATTGAGCTTTCGGAGCAAGTTTATATAAGCCCTATAACATCACCAATTCCAGATTCTATTCTAATAAATTTCGACCAAACACCTTACCGCATATTTTTGTCACAAGGTACACTCACCTGCTTTATTTGCAAAAATACAGGGCACATATCATCCCAATGCAAAAACAGTTCGGTAACGGAATCAACTCATATTGAGTCAAACAATGAAGTACCAAATCAAACAGCTTCAACAAGTATACTACACAAGGTACCAAACACCTAGCAGTCATCAAGTTATCCATCATCAAATCCAAGCATATCACCTACACCTACAAATCTCCATGACAAAGAAATTACTAACGCTCCTACTCATAACAACACTTTCAATCAACCTCATTCAGTAGCAATACCGTTTTCACAAACTTCGGAAGCAATATCCTCCAATCTATCAGCTCCTTTTTCATTAGATACAACTGCAGAAAATTCTAATAAAACTGATACAACAAGACAATTTTCTGAAACAACCATTTCAACCAATCTTACAAATAAAATTTCAAGCTCGAGTTCTGTCACTACCAAGGAGTTTGCTCCAGTACTTCCAAATGTAATAAAGCCACAGCATCTAAATGAAAACTCTAATAACAATTCCGAAAACACAAGTTCTTCCATAAAACGCAGTATTGGTGAGATCGTCACGCCTCCTCCAGACTCAGTAATTTCATCAGAAAATCTGTTTGCAAAACCCAAACCCTCTAAACCAAAAAAACCGCGCTCATATAAAGTCCCATCTACACGGGAAACTCTTGAAAATTTCATTGATAATCATACCCCACCATTCGTTTTAAATTACCACCAATTGTCCTTACTGATTGATAATGTCCAAGGCTCCTCCGACACTATTAGCGTCGTCAAAGAATTTACAACTGATATCTGTGGTTTACTCCATCTTTTACAAAGCAGCTATCAATATGCAAATGATAGATCTACAAAAAGCAAGTTTACAAAACTTCAAAAGAAACTATACAACCATTTAGAGAAAGAGATTTCTGACTTAGATAGTGACTCTTCTGTAGACAATTTTTTAGTATCATCTAACTCCGAATCTGTTAACAACATTCAACTCGATACTTCAATGGAACATTGATGGATTTTTTCATCGTCTCCCTATGCTACAGCTTTTTTTATCTAAATATTCTCCAGATATTAGTATTTCTTATGAACATGGAAGATGCGTCCAATTTTTATGGGTTCCCTCAAACGTCGGAATAACAAGAAATGAAGAAGCTGACAGGACTGCACGAGAGGCAATTTTAAGTGATTTGTCACAGCCGATAGACAAGTGTGTTTTTAGTGACTTAAAAGCTTATTTTAAAAATAAAGTGTGGTGTTTGTGGGAAAATAAGTGGTCTCAATCTAATTTCAATTTAAATAAAATCAAAAATAATGTGTCTCAGTGGTTTCCATCGTCGCTCAATAGACGAGAACAAATTGCGGTTGAGCGTTTACGCCTAGGACATACCAGATTAACGTACCTACCTTTTTACAAAGAAAAATCCACCTATATGTGATCAGTGTAACGTCCGATTAACAGTCGAACATTTTTTAACAATTTGTAGTAAATATGACCAAGAAAGACAGGATCCCAAACGTTCTACTAAAGGCTCTAGGTCAAAACTGTTACTGTAACAATATAGTGAATAATCTTAGATCCATAAACATTTTGTACAATCTGTAGGTGTTTAACTTTGTTTTTTATATTTTGTTCCGTCGCGTTTTTTATTTTTTTATTTATTAATAATTTAATTATTATTTATATAATAAGAACACACTTATTTTCCAAAAATTTAAAAATTTGACAAGATAATAAACAAAATAAAATGAAAAAATCATCAAAATCAGTAATGGTAATAGCGGATACTGAAAGTTTGTGAAAGTAAAAATTTATTGCATTTTTATATAAGTGAGCCCAAAATTTCTAAAGGGGAATTTATCATGAATTTAACTAACCTTTTTCCTGTGCTTGATAAATTCCAGATAACAACTCAGAATCAGTGTTATTTCTGTTCGCTAAATACACTAAATACTGATTTCTAGATACCCATAATTTGTGTACAGTTTAAATTGGCCGAATTATTAATTTTTACTCTTTAACATACACCTTTTAACATCAATGTAATAGAACTATTTTTTAAGATTACTAAAGATAAAATTGTGACCTCAAGTGGATAGTATAAACAAAGACATAATCGCAACTCAGCAATAAGTACAAGGCAACAATAGGATATGTGCGTAAGATAACTTAGTGTTGCATTAATATTGAGAGACCAAAATGGGTAAACGACAGAGTATAATGGTATGATATGTATGGTATGTATGTTGTCTTAGTGTTGAATTATAAAATTTGGGCTAAAAGGAATTAAGCTACACAAGGATATGTAATATTATGAAAAAAGTATATCACTTTTTATTTATCCTAGTGTTACACTCAACAGAAGGGTTTATTTCGAATCATTTGACATGAATATCACAAAAGTCATTTTTTTACATATCCTACTGTTGCTTTGGGGCGACGATATGTGGTTTTATTATAGAAAAATGTAAAAAAAAATGGCTTAATTATATAATATATACAATGTATAGAAAATATAAACAATATACGATATATTCTTTTTTTACAATGTTCCTTTTGTTTAAGTCAAAAATATTTTTACAATATTCAAATAGAAAACCTGAGTAATTCCATGGTTATATACATGGAGGGGACCAGGAGATAATTCACTACATGTGATTAGAAATCAGACTATATTCTGGTAAACAAGAGATTTAAGAATGGCGTCACCAGAGTAACAACATATCCTGGTGCAGATATCGGTTCAGACCATAACCCTATAATAACTGACATCAAAATGAAGCTCAAAAATGTCCAAGAAAGCCCCAAAACACCAAAATTAAATATCTCAATATCCAACAAATCGTTAATAGAAAATGACGTAAACAATGAGCTAAAGAAACCAATAAATGAAAACAACACAAAAATATGGAACACATTTAAAGATCTTATCTTGAAAGTAATAGAAAAATATTCAACAACATTACACAGGCACAAAAAACAACAATGGATGACTGTTTAGGATTAAACTTGAGAGGTCGCTA